CTCCAACGCTGCCAGTCCTGCTCTACATTTACTCCAAAAGTCATGAACAAAAATAATCTGTAGAATAAAAGCAATGAAGATAAAATCTCTCTCTTTAGTCTCGTGGAGGTAGAAAGTAATACTCGCATGTTCAAATTTTTCTCTTAAAACTCTGATGTATGTCTCGGGTCATAATCCAGAACAAATGCTAACCCGTTATTTGCTTTTGAAAGACTTCTGTATCTAGGAAACAGTACCAAGAAAATAACAGTGGTATTGTTCACACTGTAATAAAATTAGCCCTCTTTGAGACAAAACACTTCAGAGCCACTTACAGTGTATTTACAACCTGTTACTATGCCATTTCCACTTTCCTTTACACTTCAATTAATTACAGAAGAAGTAATCTTTTCGGTTGTTTTGCTGAGTGAGAGACATTAACAAGGACATTTTATGCAAGGAGAATAGTGATACAACACTTAAGTGTGATTAGAAGGAACAGCAATCTTTCAAAGAGTTAATGAACTTTACAAGAGTGAACAGCTTTAATATTCCAAATGCTTTTAGAACTTCAGCAACACGCTGTTGGTTAGATGTGCTGTTAGAATTAAGCCATATTTTGTTCATGTTCTACTGGCTACACAAAATGAGTTCAGAGTAAAGAAGTTTAAAACATTACAGAATGATGCCAATGAAATCCACCTGCTTTTGTACTTCAGGAGTTCATTTATTTATTACATTCCAAAGAAAGGGAAAGCAGAAGTGGTGAGGGAAAAGGGACTTTAGTATCATATGTGTTTCTGAGCACAAGAAGAGCTAAGGGCACAACTAAAAGTGCACATAAAAATCCAGAGGAGTGGGTGCTGATTGTTACTAAACAGGTTCAGGTAGCTGCTAGAACAGGGGTGGGCAAACTATGGCCCAGGGGCCGCATCCGGCCCTTTAGACGTTTTAATCCAGTTCTTGAGCTTTTGCTGTGGAGCAGGGTCCAGGGCTTTCCCTGCTCCGGCGCTCCAGCTGGGGAGCATGGTCAGGAGCTTGCCCCGTTCCGCACAGCTCCTGGAAGCAGCAGTATATCCTCCCTCCAGCTCCTACATGTAGGGGCAGCCAGGGGGCTCCACACGCTGCCCCAACCCGAGCGCTGCCACCGCAGCTCCCATTGGCTAGGAACTGCGGCCAATGGGAGGTGCAGGGGCAGCGCCTGCGGACGGGGCAGCACCTCAACGTAGGAGCTGGAGTGGGGACATGCCACTGCTTCCAGGAGCTGCTTGAGGTAAGCGCCACCTGGAGCCTGCACCCCTGACCCCCTCCTGTGCCCCAACCTCCTTCCCCAGCCCTGATCCGCCCTCCCACCCTCCAAACCCCTCCGTCCCAGCCCGGGAGCACCCTCCTGCACTCCCAACCCCAGCCCCACCCAGAGCCCGCACCCCAACCTCCTGCTCCAGCCCAGAGCCTCCTCTTGCACCCTGAACTCCTCATTTCTGGTCCCACCCCAGAGCCCGCACCCCCAGCCGGAGCCCTCACCCCCTCCCACACCCCAGCCCCCAGCTGCATGAGCATTCATGGCCCGCTATATAATTTCCATACCCAGATGGGGCCCTTGGGTCAAGTTTGCCCACCCCTGTGCTAGAAGCTAGTGAAGAAGCCAGATCAACAGCAGGCAACTCTGTATGACTCTCATGTCCTCAGTCCAAGAGCCAGCTGGTGGAATGTCATATTAGGAGGTGGTAGAAGTCCCCATCACTCAGCCAAAGGATGGAAAACAAAAGAAGGCCAGTGGGACATGGCTGCTGTCATGGCTGGGTCTCAAACCTGTACTGTTTTGGCTACAGGTGTTATTCCAGCCTTACCCATTAGGAAAGCTCGAGCCAAGCTACTGCAAGTCTGTCTACCCAGGCTGGAAGGCTCACTCCCAGCTCCAATGTAGACATACCTTATAACAAATAATGTATTTTATGGACCTAGAGGATATGGAGGGTAGTTTTTGTAACAACTCAGGAAAAAGACCTGGGCATCCATGTGGACTGCTCCGTGGGCAGATGATGTCAGAAAGCAAACATTAGGGTGTATACAGAAATAGAAAAGAAATAATACTGAAAATATTACACAGCCATTACATAAATCAAATTACATATACCTTTGCTTCAGATACTGGATTCCATTCTGGTCATCCTCTCTTTAAAAGGAGATAGCAGAAATAGAAGGGGTTCAGAGACCAGTGGAAGAAATATCAGCGGCCCAGAGAAGACGGTTGTGAAAAGAGACTGGAAAGACCGGGATGGTTTAGTTTAGAGAGGAAAGAAATACAAGGTGATAGGATAGAGCTTTAAAAGAACAATTAATAGTATAGAGAAGGTAAATCAGGTGGTCATAGTTACCCTCTCATAATACAAGGACAGTAGGCCAGTTGATGAAATTGAAAAGTAGAAAATTTAAAACTGATACAAGGAAATATATTTTTACATTGCACATAATTAACCTGTGGAACTCATTGCCACAAGGTAAGATTAAGACAAAAAGCTAACTACAATTCTGAAAAGGATTAGATTCTTATAATAATGATGAGAGCAAAAGAAAAGAAAGAAAGAAAATATGGACACATTATTACATAGCTACACACACAGGGATTTCTTGCACCTTTCCCTGAAGTAAGTATTTGATATTAGACACTGTCAGAAACAGGTTACTGAACAAGATGCAACACTGGTCTTATCGAGGATGGCAATTCCTATGTTACAAGGGAGGACGAATCATCTCTTCACCAAAGAAGTCAACACCAGAATGTTAACAACTCACTAGAACTGAATTGACTCTTCCTATGCAACAATACACTATGGCTCATTGTCTTCAAGTAGAAGTTCAATCCAAACTTTAAATCATTTCATTAAAAAATAAATTACATTAAGAGCTAAGATTCAATTTTCAATTTGGTTTCATGCCATGGTCTCAGCTTTTCTTTTTATGACCATTCTAAAGAGATTTCAAATTATAATCTATCTCTTGACATATATTGTACTGTAAGTTTTAATCAAGTCTCCCCAAAGAGAAGACAATCTACTAGTACCCTCAATCACTTTAAAATCTTGTTTGGAGCCTTCTGTTTTCCCACTATGCAGTAATATTTAACATCATTGCTTCCAACATATGTACATTCCATTCATCTGACATTCAGAACATATCTTCTTTCAGTCTGTCTCAGTAACCCCCAGAGTATTGTATGCAATGTGTCTTATTTCAGAATGCCTAACACAGTTTTATAAGCTACCATCATATTTTCATGTATAGCTATTGAACAACTAGTGTGTCTGAAGTGACATATAAGACATTTACTTTGCTTTCAGTTATACTATTTTCCTCTTATATTGTTTTCTATTTCTAAACTCCTTTATATGTCTCATATTTCCAAGTTCTCTTATTCCTGGTGCACTGTTTTTAAAATTCAGCCTCTTATCTTTTTTAAAATGCCAGCTTTCTTTGGTAGCCATATGTTTCATGTGATCCTCTCAAGAACATATTGCCAATCCATATGTCTCAACACTAAAGGCTCTATATATTTTTAAGTTGTTAAGAATTCTGAGCTGACTATAGCTCCCAAAGTCCTGTGTGCAGTGAGTGCAACATAAATAAATAGTAGGACTTAAAAGGTGACTAAAACAGAGTATTTCCAGCTAAAAATATTTCCACAAGGTAGTTCCCAATGGCAAACTTTGAAATGGGGCTAATGCTCCCTCAGTAACAATTTCAAAGTACTTACCAGTGGGTTGCTGCAATTGTAAATTGAAAGTATCCATTTTCCTTTCAAAGGGATCATGCTAACTGGTGTAAGCAGCTCTACGCAACCCTAATGCATCCCCAGAGCAAGTCTATCCTGTGCACTGAATTAGACAGGAGTTGTGTGTTAAAAATAGTAAGTTATCATGTAATTAAAGACTGAATCATAACGCAGACTCACAAGGGGGCTGAACTTTGACTTTGCCACTGTTGCACCTTCGCTCATTTTATTGCTTAGTACACCGGACCCTCGCTAGAACGCGCGTCTACGTAATGCAAATTCGGATATAACGCAGTCGCGGCCATGAATCCCAATTTTAAGTAAGCACAGTACAATTTTTTTTGAGTATAGACGCGATAAATTGACCGCTGAGAGCTCTCCTGTCGACTCTAGTACACCACCAGAACGAGGAGTGTAAGTGCAGTTGACAAGAGAGCATCAGCTATTCCCGTAGCTGAACTTGCGTATCTTAGATCGACCCCGCGCGGTAGTGTAGACAAGCCCTAAGACGATTGCTGTAGGCCTAGAATGCCATACAAATGTAATGTAATAAAAATGTACAGGTACAGTACTGTATTTATCTTTAGAAAGATGTCAAAAATGTCAGGCAAAAGGAAGGCTTACTCAGTGCAGGAGAAATTGGATGCTATCGAACGACTTAGAAATGGCGAAACCCAGGCAAAGATTAGCCATGATACTGGCATTAATGAGTCCACCTTCCGTGGATGACTAAAGAATGCTGACAAGCTCGGAAGTTACATTCCTAACCTGGATGAAGAGCATGGCATTCAAAGAAAACGAGCCCATTTATCGAATGCTGCCGATCTTGATTCTGTGGTGTACATGTGGTTTGTGCAAGAACAGCAGAAAGGCATTCTGATCTCTAGTCTTCTAAAAGCCATACAAGCGGAAAAATTCGACTGGGAACTTAATGGTGAATTCAGCAATTTTAAGGCGAGTTCAGGCTGGCTATGGCGATTTCAGAAAAGACACGAAATCTCTCAGATTGCAGTTTCGGGAGAAAAACGCTCTGCTGATGATGACGATGCACAATCGTACCCTGTGAAACTGAGGGAAATTTTACAGGCAGAGGGTTACTCGGAGGAACAGGTTTACAATGCAGACGAAACAGAAATTTATTATAAAATGTTGCCCGATAAAACCCTGGTTGTCGGAACAGATGAACATAAGAAAGAAGGATATAAACAGGCAAAAGATCGCCTTACTTTATTGTTTTGTGTGAATGCAAAAGGCAAGCATAAATTAAAACCATTGTGCATTGGAAAGTCTTGCATGCCTTGGTGCTTTCATCACGTAAATGTGAATTGCCTGCCGTTTTCGTACAAGAACTCCAGAACTTCCTGGATGACAAGAGAGATTTCTGAACAATGGTTCTTCACCAAATTTGTCCCTTCTATGCGAAAGCATTTGCGGGCAAAATGCTTAGAAGAAAAGGCTGTTCTTTTGCTACACAACTGCCCAGCACATCCTCCAGCCAAAAGACTCAGAACCTGTGACAGTAAAATATGGGTTGTATACTTACCTAAAAACACGACTTCCAAAATCCAGCCACTTGATCAAGGTGTTATCGCCATTTTTAAGCTGCACTATCAACGGAACTTGGTACGACACATGATAGAAAGCGAGTTGTCTGTCACCGATTTTCTGAAGAAGTTGACTATAAAAGACTTCTTTTACATTGGCGGCGATTCCTGGAATTTATTATATGCTGAAACAATAAACCGCTGTTGGATGGTGGGACTGAGAGAGTCGTTTGGCCACCCGCTCCTGGAAGAAAATGAAGAAAGCAGATCAGTCTGACGAGGAATTTGACTTCAAGGGATTTACAGAGGAGGAAGTTGGAAGAACAGACATGGAGTAGATGCAGGAGCTGTGCCCGCAACTGTCCACGCTCGGGGTAACTGTTCTGCCACAAAATATTTGAGTCTTGGATAAGAGGCGCCGATGAAGCAGAATAATTTTGTCCTGTTGCTGAAAGTCTAACGGATGACCAAATTCTTCAGGCAGTACGACCAAACAACATTCCAGAAGCTGAAGAATTGGCTTTTGATGTGGAAGAAGAGGAAGATGAAGTGGACGTTGTTCCAACGTCAACTGCGACTGTAGCCGGCTTAGAGACTGCTTTGAGATGGTTCGAGACGCAAGACGTTGAGCCTATAAAAATTATGCAGCTACGTAGCCTTTTGCAGTTTGCTAAGCGGAAGCAGCACAGCAGCAAGAAGCAAAAGCAACTTAACGACTTTTTTAAGAAAAACTAGACTAGTTTATTGTAATGTCTACTTTAAATCTCGAATAAAGCAACACTTTTTTTCTCATTTATTGTTTCCTTCAAGTAGTTTATTTTCTAAGGTTTTCTATACTTTATGGATGTGACATTTACTGTACACAGGAATTTCATTTTAACGCAGTCCCCGCTATAATGCGGTACTTGGCATGGATCCCAAATCCCGCGTTCTAGCGAGGGTCCGGTGTATCTAGAAAGGCCAACAGAAAGCAACACTGTAAACGACAAATGACCTGTGTAATTTTTACATGGTAGAGAGGATGAAAGACTTCCTCTTAGAGAAATTGTCTTGACCTATTTTTACATCAATAATGTGTGTAATGCTGTGCACAGCCAAAATGAAAATGGACAATCCTGATCTAACAGAGAAAGGACTATAATTAAGGGAGTATCCATCTGTTAGAACAGGGGTGGGCAAACATTTTGGCCTGAGGGCCACATCAGAGTTCCGAAACTGTATGGAGGGCCAGGTAGGGAAGGCTGTGCCTCCCCAAACAGCCTGGCCCCCGCTCCCTATCCACCCCCTCGCACCTCCTGCCTCCTGACTGCCCCCCTCAGAATCCCCACCCCATCCAACCCCCCGCCCCTTGTCCCCTGACTGCTGCCTCCCAGGACCCCCTGCCCCTGGGACCTCACCCCCTATCCAACCCCTCCCTGCTCCCTGTCCCCTGACTGCTCCAACCCCTATCCAGACCCCCGCCCCCTGACAGGCCCACCGGAACCCCCACACCTATCCAACCGCTCCTTGCTCCCTCTCCCCTGACTGCCCCCCGGAGCCCCCTGCCCCTTATCCAACCCCCTGCTCCCCGCCTCCTTACCATGCCACTCAGAGCACCAGGACTGGCAGCCGTGCTGCCTGGCTGGAGCCAGCCACACTGCCACGCAGTCTAGAGCACCAGGGCAGGCCGGCGGCTCTCGCAGCCGCGCTGCCCAGCAGAAGCTCACAGCCCCGCCACCCAGAGTGGCAGCATGGTGAGCTGAGGCTGTGGGGGAGGGGGAACAGCAGGGGAGGGGCCGGGGGCTAGCCTCCCCGGCCAGGAGCTCAAGTGCTGGGCAGAATGGTCCCATGGGCCGTAGTTTGCCCACCTCTGTGTTAGAACCTGGAATGCATACCCAAGGTTTAACAACACCATGCACAGAATAGACAGTGAGCTATCCTCCTTAAGAGTAAGACTTGTGAGAAGCAAAGAAGTTTTACGGATAGTCTAGATCTGAGCTTTGTGTTTTGTCATGTATAAATGAATATAGTCAGTGGTGACATAACTTATTGCTGTACCTGCAAGATATTTCATGGAAAATAAATTGCAATATATGCAAGCAATGGGAACTTTACTATGAAAACACCATGTTATCTACTTATAACAATGTAAATACCATGCATCACTACAGTATTTGATCAGATCATGGAGATAAAGGAGTCAGACATTCATAATTACAATGGATGATAAGGGTGGTAACAAAGCAGTTTGGCATTCCTGCAAATGGACCAAAGTTTAATAAATATGGCAACACCCATAATAAAAATATGGCAACAACTTTTTGCACAGGTTCTGTATGTTTTTCTGTTAGGAATAGTCTGTCTACTTCGTGTCTCATCATGCAATAGCCTCAAAGACCCTAAATGCACTTTCTAACCTTTCAAAAGCTATTCAGGGGAAGAGGAAGGAGGTCTGCATTTCCAGTCTCTGAACAGGATAACCCCTGAACTCATCTAAAGATACCACAAATAGATAATAATAAGGTTCCATACATGAAGATTGAGGAAGAAAACTCCACCCCCTTAACCCAGGACCAAAACATGTTTTGCCATGCACGCACGCACACACACACCAGTCATTATTACAGAGAGCTGAAACTTGGGAACATTTTTTCCTAATTCTTTTTTTAATTCAAACTTCCATCAAAACATTCAAATTTGAAAAACTCTGTCCAGCTTTAGCTGCTATGCCAGCCCCTCTGGCACTACCTGAAGTGGGAGGTACAGGATCCACGTAAACTTGCCTCCCCGGGATGCCCTATTGCAGACTTCTGTGCCAGGCTCCTTCCACAGTGCACAAGAGCTACAGTGGTCCCTACATTACCCCTCCTTGCCATTCTCCTCCCCCCAACTGTAGTTGAGTTTTGCCCTATGATTTTCCTGTTTTCTCATTTTGATCTCTAACTTAGGCTTGTTAAATGCAACTAACCATAGTTCACATGTAGTAAGTTGTCTCTTATGGCTGAACTAAGCTTAACTAAATAAAATGTTAGACATTTTAAAAGCCACCTTTCAAAGGCCTCAAACCTGCTGATTAATAATTTACAGAATTTCATGTAAGACAGACAACAGGAAAGGAAGTAACAAAAAAAATGCTGGATACAGGGGAAAGAAAGAATGACCATAGGAGGCAAATGAAATCATCTGCCATCTAACGTGAATATAGAGAATTCTAAAGTGAGAAGGATGGACAAAAGAGAAGAAATTAACAAGTCAATCAACTGAAGCAAAATAAAGTGAATATGCTAATAGATGGAGACTTAATACTGGTGCTAATGCTGATAACACTAAATGACTAAAGAGAATTCCCATGAAAGAAAACTAATGCTTCTGGGAAAAGAACATGCTAATAATAAACATTTAAAATCCAGTTAAACTGAATTGGTTTGAATTGCTGCAGTATCCAACTTACAGGAGCTGTTGGCAACTTCACCCAGTGTGTGCAATCTGGTAAGTCTCTGTATAGGTGAGCAACTCTCAGGCCTTGTCTACACTGGCAAGTTTCTGTGCAGTAAAGCAGCTTTCTGTGGTGTAACTCCCGAGGTGTACATACTGCCAAGCCACTTTGTGCGCAGAAACTCCTCAGTTGCAGCGTTGCAAAAAAAACACCTTGACAAGAGTCGGAAGCCTTACAGCACAGAGGCTCCAGCGTTGTATTGGCAGTGTAAACACATTACAGCACAGAAAGCAATCAACTGGCCTCCGGAAGTGTCCCATAATCCCTCAAGTGACCGCTCTGCTCATTGTTTTGAACTCGGCCAGCTGCCATGAAGGCATGCATCCCTCCACTTTCAAAGCTCTGTTTCTGACTGCCCTTGAAAAGCACCTGGCAACATAGTAGGATGCCCATGGAACAATGTGGTTGGGAAACCAATATCATGTGACACTGTGCCTGCCCCATGAGGCATTGCAAACCCTTCCCAAAGCACCCTGCGGCCAGTTGCACAGTTGCACAATGCAAGAGCTGCTAATGTGGATGGGTCCCACCATCACAAGGAGCACAGTGTGGACATGTAACAGTGGTTTAATTCCAGCGCTTTAATAAAAGTGGCGTAACTTGTTGCGCAGAAACTCACCACTGTAAACATACCCTCAGAATCAGGTTTCTCACATGAATTCAGCATTTGCTTTCCATTAATTTTCTTAAATGTTTCTGCCAGTGAAGATGTTCACTGGAATATCTGCAGAAAGCAAACAAAGAAGGAATGTGAACAAAGGCAAAGCAAGTTTGTTTATAATTTGTGGGCAGTTGGAGAGGGTTGGATTGAAGAGCTGGATGTGGTGGGGTTTGATTTGGAGGTCAAATGGCAGTAAAATTAGTTTTCTACAGACTAGAATTTTTATATTGACTTATAAAACAGACTAACTTTTAGATCTGTGTAAAGTGCCAAGAGCCTGAGGCTGAAATAAACAAACAAATGAAAACGTGAATGAATAATGACCCAAAATAATTTGAAATATTCACCCAGCTCTAGTAGAAAGTGCTTTTATTTTGCAGTCTAAGAACTTAATCCTGAAAGCTGTTCTGCAGGCTCTGCGAAGACACTAGGATACATCGACACACAACAACATTTAGGATCCAAGATTCTATAAAAATTCCTACAGTCCAGCCTACAACTTCCAGAAATTAGGATATCAGGAACCAGAGTGCATTCTAACACACTGTCCTTCCCTTCTAATAGCTTCTTATTGACCCAAGGCAACTCCTGCTCATTGAGTCTGAGGCTATGGCTACACTACAGCTTAAATCATCATAAATTGTGTCACTCAGTGATTGAATTAGCTACCCCCTTGAGCAACATAACTTACACCAATTTAAGCGCCAGTGCGGACAGCGCTATGTCAGTGGGAGAGCTACCGCCAGTTGTGAGGGCTGGAGTAAGCTCTCTAGTGTAGGCATCACCCGAGATTCAGCATCAGAAAGAAGAAAACACTTACCCACAGACAACGCTTCTTCCCTTACATCATTATCACAAGGCTGATGAATGTTCCAAGATGTCAAAGGAAGTGAACAAATTTCTTCAGCGGAAGTTAACTTGACCATATCCATGTGACTGCTCTGGGGCTTGTACCGTGGAATGAAACACTCCTTCCCTCTCTGAAATATGTCCTTAATGATTTCTTCTGTCTCGATTTCGTCTTGCATACTCAGAAAGACTGCAATTCTTTGGGACTCTTGGTACTTGGAATGCCCAATCACCTACATGGGAAATTATTGCAATGAGGTTTAAAAGCTTATGAAAAGATCCACTTATTTTTTTTACTTAAAAAATCAGGTTTGAGCAATATTCTCCGTGAAAAGTTTGAAAATATAAACTCCCTCTTTAATGTTTCATATCAGGAAAACTTTTTCCCCTCCACCCCTCTGTTTACTAAAAGTGAAATTAACATAGATTATTTTATATACTCAGTTTATAAACCATATTAGCATTACTGAGGATATAACAACATAGTTTTGGGACAGCATTTGTGCGATAATTCATGGATGGAACATTTCCCTCTTGTCACTGGCACAGGACCAGTGTTCAGCGTATTTTGCTGATCCTACAACCATTTGTATTTTATGTATTTTTAAAGTGTGTAGTATAAGCATGTTCAGACAAACAACATCACTGCAGAAAAAAGTGCATGGGATGGGGAGATGCTAGTCCACAGAGCAGAGAAAGTGTCTGTATTTCTCATTTATGTTTTAAGTCATAAATTTTGTCCCACATGTGGGTCTTGACAGGTGAGAAGTACGTCAATGACAGTGTCAATGTCCAAAACTCAAAAAGAAAACACTAGCGAAAAGCTTTAGCTCAGGCAAAAGTTGTTTCCTCCTGCCTACCTAGGAAAATAAACTGAGGCTCAATGTCTTGTGAGATCAGGCCCTTAGTTTTTTAGCCTGAACTGACCTCTGTACAGGAGTTTGAGGTCCCAAAAGTGTTTTCCTAAATGCTTCTGCTGATAGGCAGTCTTACTGCTGCCCGCTCTTCTAGATGATCTAGGGAATGTTTGATCTAAAAGCGGCCCTCTAAACCAAAAAGCTGGACAAGGGAAGAGAATTAGAAATTGCATATGTGGTGTGCATGATAAAATGTAAAAAGTTTCAGATCTTGCATAACACCCTCCTGAACCACACTGAAATTTTAAAAAAGGGTTTTTAAGGCCAGGGTCCTGATTGCCCTGCACCTTGTGTCATCACTTACAACAGTACAAAGAAAGTGTAATATGCTTCCATTCTGATTTGAAAGTGATTTGCACTCAACTCTATAGTGGTGCAAATGGCAAAGTGCAGGGCAATATAGGGGCTACATTTATTAATTTAGTCTTATTTAATGGGACTGGAGTATTCAGACCAGAATTAGAATTAACTTTTGTGTGTTTGTATAATCCTGGGCTAATTGCCTTTCTACGCTTTGACCTTGTCACTTTCCTTTTTTTATAGTTCTTTAATTCTCACCTATATTCCTTTTTCTACTTGCACCTGTTTTTAACCTTTGCTTAATTTTTCTCCCTCAACTCTGACTACATCTCTTACATTTATTTAAAAAGCCTATCGTTATTTGGCTATTCCCCCCTTTCTGTGTGTGTTATATATAAAAACTGAATCAACTGTATCCCTTTATTGCCTTTTTTTAAAAATAACTATCCCATTCCACTCTTTTCCTCTCTCTCTCTCTCTTCAGGTTCCCTCTTCCACCTATTCCTCCCCTTCCACAGTGTAGAAAATTCATAGTACGATCAATGCATTGTGCAGTTACATTGTGCCCTTGAAGACAAATACAATCAGACAGTCATTCACATTAGTACCAACAGCCTGAAGATGTCTCCCTGGCCCAGACAGTAGCTCCTGTCACACCCCAGAAGTTTCCAAAGAGAAAATGCTTTGACCTTTGTACATTAGCTGATGACTATTATTGCAGAATCAGAGCATGCAAACAGCATGACTTTAATCAGGAACACAAACATTAAGCAAGCGCAGTCATGCAGTAGCTAATTAAATACTAGTAAGAAGGTCAGCCTAGTGCAGCTATTCCAATTTGAATTTAAGATCTTTCGAAGACGGGAATTTACGTAAAGGCATTCTTCAAGTTCTAAGTAAAGTAGCCAAGTCTCTTTTATCCTTCTCAGCTGCAATTCCTATCATCTGTTATGAAGTTAATTTTTCAGCCTTTGCTCAAGATGTTTTCTCAACATTTTCAAACATTTCTCGATGCCCACTACACTTGTCTCCTGATAATGAAGGTAATTCCTTTATCTCCATTTACCACTTCAAATCTGTTTGAAAAGAGCTTTGCATTTAGATTTTCACTGTATATTTTGCAAATATTTAAGTCCCTGGCCTTGCAAACTCTTACACATGCTACTCACGGCAGTAAAGTTAAACACTTGTGTGTTTGCAGACTCAGGCCATAGTCAGTTTACACATTCTGTTGCAAACTAGACAGTGGTCCAGTATCTTCCCTTTAGGTGAACCCAGCTTTATCACTTCCAGGTCGGATGTTCAAAACCTTTCAGCACTGCCATAACTCTGCCTCCACTGATACGAATGGTAGATTTACTACTGAGTTCAATAGGACCAGAATTAGGTAAGTGCCAAGTGCTGCTGAAAATTGTACCCTTCATGAATTAACCATTTATAAAGATGGCAGGAAATGCTATGTACATTTCTCAACAAAACTAAGGGCACACTGTCCTACTAAAGAAATTCAAAGATTGCAAGTTAAGCACTTGAGCTTCACTCAGAATTATATTTTCATGTTAAATTATGTTTCATATTAAATATTGTAAGAATAGGATTCCCAGAGAGAGAAACCTATTTAAGTTCCACTTGCTCAGACTTGGTAGAAATCTATACTTCTTACATAATGTTTGTGTGCTGTCACATTGCACTCCAGAGGTGGAAGCAATTGGTGCTAATTGGAGTCTATAAAGTGCTTTGAGATCCTTTGACTGAAAGACACAATACAAATGTGATTCCCCCAGAATTCCTGTGTTTGACTACATGCAGCAACTTTAAAATAAAATTGTATGCGGTTTATTAAAACAATAAAATATCTATAAAACAACTTTGTTAATCCATATGCACTGGGTATTTGAAAAATACAAACTATTAGCATGCTGTGTTAGCATATTATTTGTGTAAATACAATATGATAGCTTTTAAATGATAACATTAGCAATAAAATTACACAGAGAAAAACGTGGAAGGTACAGATAGAGTTAAAAATAAAAGCAAAGATGAGAGAAATCATTTCAGCACATGCTAGATGTTTATTTATAAATATTGCTAGGCACAGCCTATTAATTTAGAGCTGAATAAAACATACACAACAGAACCTGAAACCATGTGAAATGCCATTGCTTTTGGGTTTCTTTACAAACTTGGGCCCTGATCCTGTAAACATACACACACAGAGTTTAACTTTACCATCATGAATAGCAGTCTCTTAAAGTAATAGGACTATTCACAGTAGTAAAGTTGAGGACACCCACAAATGTTTGCATTATCAGGGTCTCACAACTCAGCCCAAATTCATTTAAAGGCCTGTTGTAAAGCTTCTGAGCTTCTCATTGGTTTTAAATTATGCGTTTAGCAGCATCAGTTTAGTTGGTACTGTTCAAGGCACAAACAGCAGCAATCAGTCGAAAGAGCTCTCGGTAGAAGAGAGGCTATGGGCTTGTCCACACTGGAATAAAAGGTGTATATTTAGAATATGCTAGCTGACAGGTTTTTAAACCCTAAGGGAGACAGGGCAAGTTGTATTTTAATGTGTGTTAATTAGTTGAGGTGAACTCTATGCACGCTCCCCTCACTACAGTAGTGTTTAAAAACGTGTTAGAACACGTGCTAGCTTAGCTACCTTTTATTATTAATTATTATTATTAAAGAAATGCATCATTATTCTAACCAGGCCCATAGTTAACAGGCTGCACTGGAAAATCCAGAGGAGCTGATTTAAAGGTTCTACATTATTTTAATATTATGAACTCGCAACTTGTAGGCGTGGAGGAAGAAATATATATTTTGGGTGGGATATGAACGGGGGGGAGAGAGGTCTGGAGATCATCTCCCCTGTGGGACATAGGTCTGGAGGCAGGAGTGGAGAGCAGAGGTTTAAGGGAGACGGGGGGGGGGGGGCGGTTCTGCAGCAGATTGAGGCAGCGTGAGGCTCATCTGCACCTGGGGCGCGGGGAAGGGGCCCCAAAGCAAGGCTGGCCCAGCGCGGGCCTGGCCCGGAGGACTCGCGGGGCCCGCTCAGGGCAGGAGCGGTGGGTAGGGCCTGCGGCTGGTATCGGGGCACGCTGGAGCCCGCGGGCCCCGAAGGCGATCAGGGCTGAGAAGGGCGCAGGCGGGGCCTCCGTCCCTGCCCCGCAAACGCGGGAAGCCCGTGAGCCACCGACCTCACCCGCTTGCTGCTGCTAGTCCTAGGGCCGGGCAGAGGCCGGGGGAGGCCCAGCTGCAGGGCAGCGAGGCAGGGTCCTGGCCCCGGGCCGCTCCTCAGCCCGCCGGGCACCCACCTTGCGGCTCAGCAGGCGGGACTGGCGCTGCTTCTCCGCCTCGCTCAGCCCCCTCAGCCGCCGCTTCAGCTCCGCTCGCAGCGCTTGTTTGGCGGCTCGCAGCGGCGCTGCCATCTCGCCGGAGTCGCCAGCCGGGCCGGGTCCCGCCCCTTGGCTCTCCGTGCGCAGAATGAGCCCCCGGGCGCTCGCAGCTCTGCGCGCCGCTCCCCGCCCCGCAGCGCCCGCTGCCCCGAGGCCTGCTGCTCAGGGGGCTGCAGCCAGGCCAGGGGCCCTGATCGCTAGAGATCTCATCGGGATCCCCAGCGCCCAGGCCCCCGCTGCCGGATCGGTTTCTGCTTCCCCCTGCCCAGGGGGATCCCCAGCGCCCAGGCCCCCGCTGCCGGATCGGTTTCTGCTTCCCCCTGCCCAGGGGGATCCCCAGCGCCCAGGCCCCCGCTGCCGGATTGCTTTCTGCTTCCCCCTGCCCAGGGGGATCCCCAGCGCCCAGGCCCCCGCTGCCGGATTGCTTTCTGCTTCCCCCTGCCCAGGGGGATCCCCAGCGCCCAGGCCCCCGCTGCCGGATTGCTTTCTGCTTCCCCCTGCCCAGGGGGATCCCCAGCGCCCAGGCCCCCGCTGCCGGATTGCTTTCTGCTTCCCCCTGCCCAGGGGGATCCCCAGCGCCCAGGCCCCCGCTGCCGGATTGCTTTCTGCTTCCCCCTGCCCAGGGGGATCCCCAGCTCCCAAGCCCCCGCTGCCGGATTGGTTTCTGGTTCCTCCTGCCCAGGGGGATCCCCAGCACCCAGGCCCCCGCTGCCGGATTGGTTTCTGGTTCCCCCTGCCCAGGGGGATCCCCAGCGCCCAGGCCCCCGCTGCCGGATTGGTTTCTGGTTCTGTGTGCCCAGGGGGATCACCAGCATCCACAGGACCCAACTGCCCAGGGGGATCCCCAGCACCCAGTCCCCCGCTGCCCTGGGGGTTTCTAGTAGGTTCCCTGTGCCAGTTGGAGCCCCAGTTCCCACACTCCTGCTGCCCAGGGGGTTTCTGACTCCAGGGGCCCAGCACCCAGGTTCCTGCTGCCCACAGTGTTCTGGGGCTCCTCACATGCTGAGGGTTAAGCCCCTGGAAGTGTTTGCAGGGTGGGGGGCCAATGGTAAGGCGACACATGGGTCCAATGTGATTTTGTAATGTAAACTCTTCCTAGCTGTTTTTAACATGTATTACTGTCTTTAAAAAATGGAAGCTCTTGCACAGGACCCTTCTGGAACAAAAATGATGAAAGGTCTAGAAACATGACCTATGAGGGAAAATTGAAAAAATTGGGTTTGTTTAGTCTGGAGAAGAGAAGACTGAGGGGGGAAATTAAAACAGTTTTAAAGTACTTGAAAGGATATTACAAATAAGAGGGTGATAAATTGTTCTCCTTAACCTCTGAGGATAGGACAAGAAGCAATTGGCTTAAATTGCAGCAAGGGCAGTTGAGGTTGGACATTAGGAAAAAACTTCCTAACTGTCAAGGTGGTTAAGCACTGGAATAAATTGCCTAGGGAGGTTGTGGAATCTCCATCACTGGAGATTTTTAAAAGCAGGTTCAGCAAACACCTGTCAGGTATGGTCTAGATCAGAGGTGGGCAAACTATGGCCCAAAGACCACATCCGGCCCGCCCGGCCCTTGAGCTCCCGGCCAGGGAGGCTATCCCTCAACCCCTCCCCTGCTGTCCCCCTTCCCCTGCAGCCTCAGCTCGCCATGCCGCCAGCGGTCTGGGCGGCGGGGCTGCAAGCTCTTGCTGGGCAGTGCGGCTGCGAGAGCCGCCAGCCTGCCCCGGTGTGCTAGACTGCACGGCAGTGTGGCTGGCTCCAGCTGAGCTGCACGGCTGCCAGTCCTGGTGCTCTGAGTGGCATGGTAAGGGGGCGGGGAGTGGGGGGGTTGGATAAGGGGCAGGAGTCCTGGGGGGCAGTCAGGCAACAGGGAACGGGGTGGGGGTGGATAGGCATGGGAGTCCGGGGGGGCCTGTCAGAAGGTGGGGGTCTGGATAGGGGCAGTCAGGGGACAGGGAGCAGGGGGCTTGGATAGGGGGTGGGGTCCCAGGGGTGGTTAGGGGTGGGGGGTCCCGGAAGGGGGCAGTCAGGGGCCAAAGAGCAGGGGGGTTTAGATGGGTTGGGGGTTCTGAGAGGGGCAGTCAGGGGGCGGGGGCCAGGCTGTTTGGGGAGGCACAGCCTTCCCTACCCGGCCCTCCATACAGTTTTGGAACCCCGATGTGGCCCTCAGTCCAAAAAATTTGCCCATCCCCGAGCTAGACCAAAATCCCTAGATCCAAATATTCCCTGACTCTCATCTTTATATAATAGGTCAAACTAAAATCCAGATGTGAAGATCTCTTAATTATGTGGATGTTTGTATCTGGAGACACACTTTGCAGCTTTTGGTGGCTTTCTAGTTTAACTGTGAGGTACATGCGAACATCTCCTTCCTTTTTTTTCTTCCTCCAACAAATGACCAGCTAAACCAGGGTGGGCAAACTTTTTGGCCTGAGGTGCCCCGCAGGCCATAGTTTGCCCACCTCTGGCCAAGACCCTACCTGTTGAGAGCACAAAACTAGGAAAATGGGTTGTTTTATTGCTTAGAAATGTGTAAGTCACATTCATATGTCACATTGTCTTCTCGATTTTCTCATAAAAACAATTGGCTTACTTTTTTTTGCACCATGTCATTTCCCCCACTTCTTGGAAAATGCTGAATAACTCTGTTTCATTTCATCATTAAATCAGCTCCAGGAGGTTTTTACAGTCAGTGGAGATGAGTCTCGGGCTTCCATTCACATGTTACAGTCATGTAATTTAAACAGAAATGTGCATTTAGCCTTATGCAAACTCTATCAAGATTCAACAAGGCTTTGCTGACTCTTGTGGAAACAGCCACGCTGACATTTAAATCTTTAAAATCAAGGAAAATTAGACTACACATTTGAACTTTAGGCCAAATTCTGCTGGCTGTGTAAATCTACTGCCATCAACTCAAGTTTTACTTTAAAAAGTATGTGGAAAAAAAAAAGTAGGTTTGGGGGGTTTTTAGTCTAAAAAATGTGTATATTTTCCTCCCAAAATAACTGAAAACCTGGTGACTAGAGATTCCTCAAATAAGAAACAGAAAATCACCAATTACTAATAATAAAAAGACAATTGCTCGACTCATTGAAACATAAGTAAATCTGAGATGCAAATTCACCAGATTCACACTAAAGACGTGTGCTGCCAGACAGACTTCCATCACCAACTCTCGTTCTGACCTGTGATAGTCTCATCAGAACATAAGAACGGCCATACTGGGTCAGACCAAAGGTCCATCTAGCCCAGTCCTGTCTTCTGACAGTGGCCAGTGCCAGGTGCCCCAGAGGGAATGAACAGAACAGGTCATCATCAAGTGATCCACCCTCTGTCGCCCATTCGCAGCTTCCGTCTCCCCTCTCTTTCCCTGTCCCTTCTCAGCCTTTTCTGTGTCAGGCTGCAAGAGGGGCCTCAGTGGGAGTCATGACCTGCTGTCCTTCCTGTTGGGTCTCCATTTTAGTGCTCAAGGGGAGCAGATAAAGGAAGGCCATTAATGCTCCTTTGGGCAAAAAGAGTCTGAAGGGAAGGGACAGACTGCAGCAGTTCTTCTCTCTTGGGCAGTCTGTCCCTTCCCTTCAGACTCTTTTTGCCCAAAAGAGCATTAATGGCCTTCCCAGAGGGAACACAGGCTTGGGGTGGATTGAGAGACTGGAGAGCCACTCAAGAGCAGCCTGGCCCCCGTGAGAGAAGCAGCTGCTGGGGGTGGGAGGAGTAGAGAGCTGCTGAACATTTGAACAATCCCCCTCTGGCCCCAGTGACAGAAGCTGTGGCAGCAGTAGGCGAGAGGGAGAGGAAGTTCTGGCAGTAATGGGAATGATTTGGGGTGAGTTATGAACAATCGAGAGCAGTTTACAGTGGATGCTGAGCTGCACTGTCTCACCATTTGTTTTGCTGTAGAAGTTTGAATTCCCAGCTGCTATCTTTGCAATAGTGCATTCTGCACAGGGCCAAATCCTGAAGTCCTTACTCAGTCCTGAGAGATTTGCCTGGGTAAGGGTCTCCAGGTATGGTCCCTAATGTCTAGAGAAGCAACTCAATATGGTTTACACATGTAGCACATGCAGAGTTGCAAACAGATACAGCACTGATTGTAGGGGCTTTGCTCAGGTCAGCTCTGTGCTTTTATCAAGCACTTAGCATGCTCATTATTCAACCCCCCCACCTCTTTGAGTACCAGTTGAGTGATTGGCTTGTCCAGTGACTTGCAGCAGGTGGGGGCAACGTCAGCCAGGATCCAGGATACCCTGAGCATAGTGCTACAGTACGCAGAGGATGTGCTATCTGATAAAGTGGCTGCTGACAACACTGTTGGGCACTTCCTGATGGATCTTATTAACCAGGTGCCAAGGATTTCACTGGAGGACTTTGAGACAGTGCTGAACAGCAGTATCAACGACCTGCTGATGGAAAAGGAGGACTTGTGGCACCTTAGAGACTAACCAATTTATCTGAGCATAAGCTTTCGTGAGCTACAGCTCACTTCATTGGATGCATTCAGTGAAAAATACAGTGAGGAGATTTATATACACATAGAACATGAAAAAATGTGTGTTTATCATGCAGACTGTAAGGAGAGTGATCACTTAAGATGAGCTATTACCAGCAGGAGAGTGGGGGTGGGGGGAGGAAGAAAACCCTTTGTAGTGATAATCAAGGTGCTGGAAATGGCCCACCTTGATTATCACTACAAAGGGTTTTCTTCCTCCCCCCACCCCCACTCTCCTGCTGGTAATAGCTCATCTTAAGTGATCACTCTCCTTACAGTCTGCATGATAAACACACATTTTTTCATGTTCTATGTGTATATAAATCTCCTCACTGTATTTTCCACTGAATGCATCCGATGAAGTGAGCTGTAGCTCACGAAAGCTTATGCTCAAATAAAATGGTTAGTCTCTAAGGTGCCACAAGTCCTCCTTTTCTTTTTGCGAATACAGACTAACACGGCTGCTACTCTGCGGCCTGCTGATGGTGACCTATTTGGCAAATCTCACTCAGTCACAGATTGCTCTCCATGAAAAACTTCTGAGCTTATGATGGACTCCCTGCCTTCTCTCACTTGAGAATCTGAAGATACAACAGAGCTAGTCTCCCTACAATCTGTTCTGCTACT